CAAACCGATTTCTAGGGATCTTTGAGCTCAGACTATTTAAAACCGAGCATGAACGTTTTTTTCATATTGAAAATACAAGCGTTGAAATTCATGGTTCATGATGCAGTAGGACAGAAATTAATGATGAGTAAAATAATAAAAAGGCAATGGCTGTAATCTGTTATGTCAGCGAAACGGAAGTTCCTTCTACAATGAACGTTTCCTCCAGCAAATCCAGAAGGAGAAGTAAAACCCATCAATGTTGTTTTCCTTAATTATTAGCCTTGTATCAGGTCGATGATATCTGGAACGTTATTTCACAAGAACACACCGTCGAGAGACAGATGATGCAAATAATTTGAATTAAAGGTTATGGTTATGCGTGAAAGTAAAAGTTTGTTTCTAGAAATGAGTAAACTGAGTGAAGATACATTGAAAAGAACAAGTTGCACTAAGGACTCTAGACAAAGACTGTGACACTATGCAGCCCAATAAAGAAAAATGGGAGCAACAGATTGAACGTGACATTGATTCTCAAACACTATGCCGTCTTAAACTGAAAGAAGTGTTGTGGGCTTTTACATACCTGTCAAGTTCTGCATTTATACATTGACGGAAACATGAACAAATTAAAGTGCTTCATTTTAGGCCTTGCTTTGCGTTCATGTTTTTGCAAAAGAACAGGTTACGTATTCAATCTGGACGCGCTTCTAAACTTGTCATCGTAGAATATTAAAAGATTTTATCTTGTACACAAGTGTAGGTAATATTGCCACTATATGACAGCACTCTGTAACTAATAGAGTCTGTACAAGAAAATCCAGTAATTTAGAACATGAGCATCGATCTACAAATGTGTTAATCCTGACCACCCGATCCCGTCAGTCACCTCTTCCGACAAGCATGGGTTTACTCTGATCTTCACGGGTTGGTACAGATTATTAGCACATTTCAGCCTAATTCCATTGTTGGCATATCTTTGTAATCTTTCAAAACAAAAAGCGATTTCACTTCTCATAATAAGCAATTATTAGTTAGAAATTTTGTATGATTTATAACCTTACCTTTGTAACACCTCTACCTACAACATGTCAGGTAAGTGAGTAAAAGTTAAATAGAATGAGATTCCATGCTCCTGTTTAACATAGCTACGCTACTGAGACACAGTGCACTGACTCTGAACCAACTGGTTCTTGTTTTGGGCCAATAACACCGATAGCATGGCAGTATTCAGCAAATACCATCTTTAACGTCATTTTCACTTTTCAACTTGCTTGTAGACGCTCGATGAAGATCCGAGTTAGATAAACTGATGCTTGTGCCTAACGGGTTCGGGTGATCAGGCACGCTGACTTTTGACACATTTCAGATTGCGTAGATCGATGGATTGTCTGGACCAGGCACGATTATGTACAGATATATGGCTGGAGCATTGCTTAGTTCGGCGTCAAACAACTTAGACCACGGAGGGTGTGACATTAGAGGGTATGTTGCAGAAGGAGTGAACCAACAAAGCAAGATGTGCATTTGCCTGTATCGCAATCGAAATTAGGCTAATCGTTGTATAATAACAAAGACAAAGCTGGTTGATAGTTATTTATCAATCTGTTTCAATCACTATACTCATATAGTGGGTTACCTAAAGTGACATAAGTACACAATTGGATCATTTTGGAATGTTCTCCCTAATTGATTTGTGATATGGGCGAAACAATGTAACAGGTCAATAAGGTGTTAACTCTACTTCCCCACTTACTTAATCTTTCTCTAATTCCAAAATTGGTGATTAGAAAAACAAAACACAAAATTATTAGTGGCATTAACGCTATCAGCACAGCTTTTTGACTGCATGAAGGTTTTCTTCAACGTTGTTATGCCATGTGTGTGCAATCCGTACATAGTGTAAAATGACCGTAACGTATTTCGACTCAATTGTCATCATTGTGTGGGCGTTCCGTTTTTGGTACTGGTTAGTAGTCAATCAGGCACGTCGATAACAGCGTGGAAATACATGCGTCAGCAGTGCACTCATACATTTGTTACGTCATTCTGTATAGTTGATGCTTTACACATATATAATATATTGTACTGTCCAGTCAACAATAGGCCGATGTGAGTGAAAATATACAATTCATCCTTCCCTCGATTAGTATTCATTAATTGAATAAGACAAAACTCTCTTTGTACGCTTCGTGTTATTTTGGTAGCCCGGTGAATTAAGGTGCCAAAGTGTTATCCATCTAAACACCTCTGTCAGGTCGAGCTTCTCTTGAATATTAAGGTTCAACGGCATATTACCAACATAATGTCCGAACCTTGCTCGTCTGCCAAACGATGAAGTACAGTGTGATAATGGAACGTTTTATGTAGCTTCCAACTATTGGTATCTAGAATATATCGACATAATGTATCCACGCAGTTGATTCTGTGTTAAAACTTTATTATACCAACTAACTTGTCTCTCGCTTCATAGTAATTACTTTGAAGCAATTTCGATGTTTCCGCTTCCCTTGATGGGTTCAGAGCTCACACATGATGCCGCAAAGGATATTTACTTGACGCTATGTCGTGAGTAGGAATAAAATTATCCTCGAGGGCAAACATTTGCTTTCATGACGACGCTTAACTCCGTCACATATTATCGTAATCAGGAATCAGGTCAATTAAAATGTTCTGATATGGCTTAACATACCACTAACATATACTGGCATTGAAAGAAAATGAACTGCAAATATATTCTCTATGCAAATAATTATTGACGCCACATTCTAATAAGTTTGATATAGAGGATGTTTTCCATATTCATAACTATTGTCATTCGCTGGCAAGAAACCTGCTGAAGTGTTAATCTGTATGTAAGTATCACCAGACTAGAAATGATATGAATTAAGTAGAATACATCACACCACATACTTAACACTCCCTATACAGTCTATGGAGAGAAGGCACTTGGCATGTCCAACTTGCTTTCTCAGCCAAAATAGAAACAGTACACATACAGGAAAAAAAGTGTTGGTGAAATCCATGAGTTTAGCCAACTGAGAACTTGCAGCGCAAACAAAAGCCATGCACTATAGGGGGAAGAAATCATGTGAAGCAAACAAATTGGACTTTTAAAGTCATGCAGTTCAGTACGTGTTGTGTCTATTCCTAGAGCCTATACATGTTTGGCAAACATTGTCTTTTCGACGACAGCGATAATCACCATTGGGATTCGGATACTCTGACTTTCTTGAAGAAGAGCCTGTTACAATTGCTGATGGTTTGTTGGCGGATGTGGAGGTAGACGTATGTAGCTGTACAGATACTTTTAAAAATATCCAATAAGGTTTAAATTTGGGTCACTCAGGTCACAGTAGGACATTGAAATGTTTGTCATCAAGGCAAGGAATACAGACAGGAGCAGCATGTTTGCGAGTCTTGTCATGCTGATACGGAGGAGACTGTCCAAGTAACTCTCCATACCATGGGATGAATGGACATTGGATGCAATATGTTTATGGAATGAGAAACGTACATGCTAAAATATTGAGTTTTAGATAATGGACTGGTTTCAAGAAGCATAGAACATTGAAATGTAAATCACATTGCTTGACATTAAGAAAAAAATATTTCAGACCTAAAAAAACGAATAAACGTGGGAAAGCACCATGAATAATATGAATTTCGTACTACCTCACTACCAAAAGTGTCAATGATTTAATTTGATTTAATACCAAATGCAGTTCGTGTGAGGAAATCACAGTCACTATCCCAGTAATCATCAGGCTATCTATACTATTCCAAAAATGAAACGCAAAGCCCTGAAATCTGTTGCGAAAATGTTGTATTTTCAAACATGTATAACTCGTCCACAAATAGAGTTTAGTACATGAAAGTTTACATCAGTTTAGAAGAAGGAAATGCCTATACAACCAAGTGTATAATTTTAGTAAACGGAGACTTGAGCGTGATGGCGACGACGTAGCACGGTCCCGACGTCGGATCTTCTGGCTCTCAGTCCAATCTCTCTCAACCTGTTCCGTACCGTTTGACCGGATATCCTCCGAAATCCAGGCACCCTGGCTGCTGTGCTCTCATCCGTGGCAGTACGATTACGCAAATGTAGTACCCGGATGTACCGATCTTGGGCTGCAGTGGTGACTCAAGGTCTGCCTGTACAGGGACGGTCATTTGTTATACCTGTTTGGTTGTAACGAGCTGCAAGCCGTGATATCGTGCTCAGACTAACATTCAGACGCCTGGCAACAGAAGATTGATAATCTCCAGCGTGCATTCTATCAATGACGATGTTCCGTGTCGCAGCGTCAAGACGTGGCGTAGTGATGTGACCTTGAAACTCCTTTAAAACGAATGCCGATTTCCGAAAGTAATCGGGATTTTTATAGCCAGACAGTACATGCTCTTTGCTGCACAATTTCAACTGGAAGGTGATTTTATTAATATTATTATTATACGATATTTATGTAGCGCACATATCCAGGCAACTAGTGCTTGCTCAAGGCGCTGGTATTTTTCCCCTCGATCATTGGATGTCAATCTAAACGGCGCATCGTGTTATCAATCTCAACTCCCTGGGGAGTATGCAACTGTTGCAGCCACTAGGCGCACTGAGTTATTGTGGCTTTCTCATCCTAACGGGGTACCCATTCACAGCTGGGTGGACTGAGACACATAGTCACAGTACTTTGTCCAAGTTCACTACACGTTGCTGTACCCGCAACTAGGTGTTTGCACGTATTCATGTGGCCACCATCTGGTCATCTACCAACGGATTCGTGGTTTTTAAGTGCACAGGCGTTGTTACAACACTGAAAGAGTCTGCACACAAAGTTGACTCCAAGGTTTTTACACCCGGTCACAGGTGGGCTCGATCCCGACACCTCAACCTCGCTGAATGACTAGCCTGGCGCCTTAGTCAGCGCCCACCGCGCCCCACAATTTCTGTTGTGTTGTGGCGATACTTTTTTAATCCTTGTAAGAAATCAATACGGAGGTATTCGAGATGTCATCTCTTCTGCGCGGGGAGGCGCAAATAGGTTGCGCAACAAACCGGAAGGTGGGGCTGTTTTTAGTGTCGCAATGGCGGGTAATTCAAAATGTATCGATTCGATGCTGAAACCTGAATTAAGATCGTTTCTTATGGCAAGGGGCATGACTGTGTCAAATTACACTTTGGCACAACTGCGTGAGTTGGCGAATAAGGCAGTTGAACTTGGTTTACCAGTGCTAACGACTCCCGATGATACGGCTTCATTCCTTTTGGAGAGATGTACGGTAGTTGTTGACAACGAAACAGTGACGTTTCCCGTGGTTGTGTCGCCCAAACTGAAATCGTGGACTGATAACCTGTCTTCGCTTCCGATGTTCTGTCAAGCTGACATCCTAGTTTACTTGCTGGGGCATGCAAGTTGGAGTAAAGAGAGACTGAAGGGGTTCAGGAAGGAGAAGGGATATCGACTGCATGTCGATGGCCATGTCCATACAGTTGAGCTTCATAGTTTGACACACGATCATATCTATGTACGAGCCCAGTGCACCCGTGAGACATCACAGTCTGAGAAGGCCTACTTAACCTGGTGTCTACTGGAGAAGGAAATGCTTGTATTGTGTCAGCAGGATGTGAATGTACAGGGTAAGTGTTATTTTTATGTGTATTTTCCTACTAATTATTGAATTTCCTGTGTGTAGTCTACCCAGAATCAGTTGAATTATGTCAAGTGAAGTGTTACAAAAAACTTCAAAGCTATAATGTTTTTAATCTTTCCAAAATTCATAATATTTATTAAATAAGTTCTGTTTCATATTTTTTTCAGTGATGATGGTGCTTGTAAGCACGTTGTTGCCCTACTGTTCAGCATAGTGGACTGGTCTGACAGACATGTGGACAGGAGTACAGAGACCTGCACAGATGTCAAGTGTGTTTGGGACAATGCTAGGAAAGAGTCTTTACCACTTAAACTAGCTGACATTAATACTTCACTACTCCACACAGATACAATTAATAATTATCGTCCTAGTAATGAATGTTGTTTTGATGTCCAGAATGCATTGCATGAATTAATTAAGGACACAGATTGTCAAATGAATGAAGTCTTGGATAATGAGCATAGTCAAGTTAGCATTTCACTTCCCAAAACTATGCTTGAATTTGGCCTTGAATATAAAACTTTGACAATTTCACCTCCCGGTTTCATTGATTATGTTAAGTTTAACATGACACACAGTGATTGTGAAGAAATTAATTCACTTTCTGAGGGTCAGTCAGATAATGAAAACTGGTTTAGGTATCGATGTGGTCGACTGACTGCATCTGTCTTTCCAAATGTGTTGATTTACAGTCAAAATAAAAGTGACAATTACATAGTAAAGCAAGTCATGTCTGAGTATAGAGGCCAATCTGCTGTTAGTAGTACTTGTGCTTCTTCAAGATGAGCACCAGCAATGTATGGAAAAGAGCGTGAAGTCCTTGCCCGTCAATTGTATGAATGTAAACAAAAAATAGACCATGTTGGCTTGAATGTTTATGTTCCAGGATTATTAGTAAATGAAAATATGCCTCATCTTGGTGCCAGCCCTGATGGTGTTGTACATTGTAAATGTTGTGGTAAGGGCCTTTTAGAAGTTAAATGTACTTACAAATACAAAAATTGCAGTATTGATGAAATTTGTTCTGAGAATTACAATGTGTATAAAAATGAAAATGGAGTGATAAAGCTGAATAAGTCTTCACTTTGGTTCAAGCAAATACAGTGCCAAATGGCAGTTGCAAATGTGCAGTGGTGTGATTTTGTTCTCTATGTTGAAGGTACCATAAAAACTGGAAAGCATTTGATATATATTGATAGGATTTGTTTTGAGGAAATGGAATGGAAAAAAAGATTTTCAGAAAATAACCTCTTTCTATGAATCATTCATTGTCCCTAAACTGTTGTCTTAAATTGATCTGCAGTTGTAGTATTGTAAATGAAATATATGTGAGAGGTGTAAAAGGTTAGTAAGACATGCTTGTACAGATAGTCTCATCCCAGTGTCATTTGATGTATGATATATCACCACAAGTCGATAAACATAACAAAACTCAGAGTATAACCAAATACTGACTTGTATTAATTGTAATACTTACTGGCATACATAATAGTATGTCAATTGAGGAACAAGACATTATGGAACATAAATTGAAATTTATTTCTGTACATTTGTGCAGCTAATATTCATAACAGAGCTTGGGATTTCAGCATCTATTACTGTTACATCCATATCTAAAACAAGTACATGTACATGAAAAAGTAATAAGTATTATTACTATTGTTATTATCATGTATTACTATGACTCCAGGTAATACTCTACATTTGTTGTATATAGACTTACCAGTATTATTATGATTTGACAACAAAACAAATGTACTGTTAAGTGAATTAAATGGGGATAACTGTTATGTAAACAGTTTGCAATCTTTAATAGAAAAAAGTATCCTGTAAATACCAAGGGGCACTTAATGACAAACATCAAGGTTACATTTAGTAACAGGTTTTCTACCTAGCATTACAATGCATTTTCAGTATTTGTCATCTTTTACTCAGAGCTCCAGATAAGATTTAGCTCATGTGGGTACTGTACCTACTGTATTGCTTTGGAGTGGGTACTACGAATGTTGAGTGGGTATTTCAGTTTCCGTTACCCACTGCTTTCAAATATGTGGGTATTTAATTGATTTTACTCACCGAAGTATATATCATTGAGTAAGTTTACTAAGCAGGTATGTACTGCCTTATGTCATACCTAAGCAAAACCAACTTAAATATAATGGAAATGATTTCATAAAAAATCACTCATCCTGTACTGACAGTACAACACTAGTCCTATACTAACAGTACAACTTGATAGCAATCGATGTCTTTTTCATTATGCAAGCGATTTTTATAAATATATTCCGTACGCATAATGTTTTAACCTTTTTGCTTATCTAACATTTTAAATGCTAATTGGTACGCAACAATTACTTTTCAATGCGTAATACGCCACTTATCTGGGCCTCTGAATTTTACTTGTATAGCTTGTATGAAATTCATATTGATTTGTTGAGTATTGTAATGATTGATCATAGTCCAGATCTGAATGATGCTAATAGAATAATTGAATGTGGCTATAATTATGTACAAATGATTACATGACAACTATTGTACAGCACAGTATCAACAATAAACCATGATGTATTAAAAAAACTGTATCACATTTGTTATTTTTTTGACAGTATTGAATACAGGACATTGTTCAATCAAGTCAAAATAATACATTATTTGCTTTACAGCAGGTATTAAAACTGAATTAGTTCCTGACTAGTTTGGGCATGAGATTACAAAAAAATGCACACACTTTCACCATTTTGTTCACAAGTGGTTTCACTTCCCAAGGAATGATGTTACTTAAAAGTCGAAAACATTTTAATCTCTGTATAGCTCTCTCAACGTGAATTCTAAGTTTAGCAATGTTTCTTGTCTTTTTAATTTCACTCACATTAAGTCTCTTTTTCTTACCCCAAGTACATTTTCGAGTAAATGGTGGCATATTTAGGGTCGCTCGCTTTCTAGTCAATAAATCCCGAATATTGAAACCTCTGTCTGCCATGATATCATCTCCAGCTTCAATTAAGTCTAAAAACCCTGAATGTTCTGTAATATACCTATCAGAAGCATTACCACCATACAAGTCAGAGACAAACGTGAAAGTACCAGATGGTGATATGGCAAGTAAACATTTCCCAGTATTTCTAGATTTGTATGAACTGTAAGTAGCAGCTTGGGCTGAAGGTGATCTAGGTTTTGAAAAAAGAACTCTGTACAGTCAATTATGGCTCGTGTTCTAGGATATAACTGCCTGAAAGACAATGGCATATATTTCTTAACCTGCAGTTTTGATGGCCATTTCAAAACATTATCAAAGGTTTGAGACATAAAAGTAATCCATGTTGCAAATATCTGACTAACACGTGATTTTGATATTCCAAAAACATCTGCTAAGAAATACTGAAGAAATCCTAGTCTCAGACGAACAAGAGAAAGAATATATTCTTGATACATTGTCAACTTTCTACTTGGACCAGGACGAGATCTACAATTATTTGTTATGTCACATGTAGCAGCATTGCCATTCCAATAGTTCAAAAGTGAACATTTAGAAACAAGTATGTTAAAGATACCCAATAAAACAGTACAAGATGGTAAGCCTGTATAGAACCTTACATGTTCATCATCTTTAACAATAGTTTCCAGAAACAAGTCCCTAAATAGAGTTTCCTTGTCATCTAGTTTTTCAGTTTTACTTTTAAGGTCCTCATTCATGTTATGAATGTCTGACATTGTCAGATCTGTCTGAGTTCCAGTCTCACACATCCGGCTCTTCTCTGCCTCCTTCATGACATAGTGATGATCGTCACTGACAATGGGTGTGTTTGACTCTATTGCACCTGGAGGAAAAATAAAAAAATACCTTGAGTCACAAAGTCAATTAGCTCTTTTAAAAAATAATTACTAAATCAACATAATATTTTCATTCTTTATTCAAACTATTCAAAATATATTTTCAATAAAATTTGTCATTTAAAGTTAAGAATTATGTATGAGCAGACCTTTGAAAAGCTTGTTTTCCTTGTTGGCTGAAGGACAGTGATCTCTCCAACTGTGTAGGGTATGGAGGCAAAGTCTGTGCTTCCTGATAAATCAGGCATAACATGTACAGTTGCGAGCTCGTTGGTGGGTTTCCTCTCATCCATGGCCAGGTGAAGTGATGAGTTTTGAGTAGATTCTATAACAAAATATAATTGATAATTTTCAGGGGCACAGTGTTTTAGAACAGATTATTTTTATTTGCAAAAATAGAACACACATCTAAAATAATTCGATTCTATCATTCACAATTTGTAGATTTATATTGAGCAGAAGTGCTAACTACTTTGACAATAGTGTTGAAAAAAAATATTTATACAGTCGGCTTTTCGAATCGGTACTAATATTGAGTAACGTACGTCCTCCCGCCATGACAAACCAAGGGTCTATTTATAGATCCTTGGCCAAACTCACAAAATTGTAACAAAATAATGGTTACAAAGACTTTTAAAAATCAATGAAAAATAAAGTATATGTGTAAGTGGTCATTACCTTAGAGTGGAGGGCATTTTAAAGTTGTTATATGGAAACAGTGTCGGACAGTCACCACCTGGCAAAAAATGTCTTGAACAAATCCGACTGTACTTGTTCGGTGCCCATGCAGGCTCTCGTCGGACGAGTTTAATCCATCTTCTCCGAAGAGTGGATGCCCTGATCTTGTTCGGGAAGGAGAAAAAGGTCACCCCCTGTAGCCATGGGTACTTGTGAACTTTTTGCTGCTTTCGCGTCGATGCGGTACAACCCGGAACACAACAGTGATGAGACGGCATGTTTACATTAGCGACGGCCTTGAAACAGCCCCACCTTCCGGTGACGTAACGACCTTTCTTCGCCTTTTCTAAAGAGAGAGCGTACAAAGGGACGTAATCCGAAACCTCCGTACTGATTACTTTTGATAACTGACCAACTAGTCGGCAACCTTCTGCTGTCGATGAATAGAACCAGAACGGACCCAGGCCTTCCATATTAGTTATTGTCAACTCGACTCATCTGTGTACACAACAAATATGAAAAACAAGAACACGTATCTGAACGACGTCAGAAGATGTTTAGAGGCAATTTGGACCTTCCTGGGGATTAACAGTGCCGGGGCGATTGAGTTTCAGAAATCAAGTTTCAAAGTGCTCCATTTAAAAGAGCAAGAACATAAAAGTACTATTAGTTTCAACAATTTCGAACAAAACCTTGTGTGGCTTGGGTTTCTTGGAATCCATAAAGTATTTAGTAATTAGCCCAGGAGATAATTGTCCATTCAGACAATTGTCCAACAGTTGACTTAATCGTTTGCTATATGTATGACAGCATTGTCTGTGTATGGAGTGCGGTGACCTTCACCCCGAAGACTGAAAGATCAGACTTGCCTCAAACATTTAAGAAGGTCCAGTTTATGATCCCCAAATGATCCCTTTTAAAAAAGCAACAACATATAATTAATTAATCCATTACTCTGGGCAATAGCTTTTCACACGTCATGCTTAACACAGACACATCATACCAAATGACAAACACACATACCACATAAATAACATCCCGGTAAAAATCCTTCGCATATTACACATGTAACAAGTATACCGAAAAAAACCACTTGATGAGAAAGGTCTCATAATTCTATCTTCAAGCGATCGAATGGTCACTTCAGTGTGTGAGGCGACGTGAGGGCTGCAAGATCTGATTATTGCACGATGTAAAATGATGATAAACCGTGGACGGATTCGAGGGAAAGTTTAACTGATTTTACAGCTGATTTGTTATCAGTGACGTGACCAGTCAGATACGACAGATAATTCCCCCCAACCTTGCACAGAGAACTACTTATGAATCACAACTACCTTTGTGATGATTTGGATTCATACCATGTTGGGTTGTCTAGACATAGGATAATGTTTTCAAGATTGTTTTATGCACCGGTTGAAGGATTAGGATGTCCAGTTACCTACATGTGTACTGTCAGTCTGCAGTCTTCTATTAAGAACAAGCCTGCTTGAACATGAACAAAGAGATATGTTTCACCACCACAGTGACAATAAAACTGTGCAACGCAATCATCAAAAAGATCATCCGAAGTTTTGAAGTTGCAAAAGAAAGATGGTAAACAGATGTAGTGTAATGTCATGATAGTTTACATCGATTTGTATAGTATACGCGTATTCTGGTTGAAGTATATGTGTAGTGTGATTGTTGCATCGATGTGACTTTAGTATAGGTGTAGTGTGATTGTTGTATGTGTGTAGTGTGAATGTGTGCACGTGCAGTGTGACTATTGTATATATAGTATGACCAGAAATTATTGAGAATTTTAGGAATATGTTTAATTGGATTTCTAGTATAAACAACCTTGACCAGCTATCAAGTGCTTGGTTTCATTCAAGAGAGACAACTCCGTTAATCATTAGTTTGTGAAGAGTTATCCCCTTTGTTTACTTGCTAGCAGACGACATTTTCAGTGATCTTCAGTATGGATGATTTAGAGAAGAGGAAGTTGATTTTAGAGTATTATAACAAGGACATCAGATCAGCTAAAGTGATTTCAAGTAGAACAGGCATCCCTTTGTCTACTTTTTATCGTGTTTTGAAAAATATTGCAAATGGATATGGCATTGAGCACCAGGGAGGCGCAGGTAGGCCCAGAAAATTGACTGTTGGTGACGGGAGGCGGCTTGGTATTCTTGTTTCTAAAAACAAACGAAGGAGTTTAGAAAACTTAAGGCTGGATATGATTGATAGAGGAACTGTGGTTGTCTGTAAAGAGAAAATTAGAACTGAGCTGCACGCAATGGGTTGGCAGAAAAGTCGAGGAATTCCATCGCCGATCATGAAACCTGAAAAAAACGAGCGAAGGTTGAACTGGTGCTTACAGCATAGAAATTTTAACTGGGACAATGTGATTTTCTCAGATGAATGTTCTGTGTGGCTGTATCCTAATACACTGAAATTCTGGACCAAACAAACTGAAAAACCTTTGTATCAGCGCCCAAAGTACAGTCCGAAACTTAACGTGTGGGGTGGCATATCTGTGTAAGGGGCAACGCCCCTCTGTGTATTTGAAGGGAATATGAACAGTGAGCGGTACACAGATATTCTCGAGGGACATTTACTTCCATCTGCTCACGTGTTCTATGGAAAGTTTTGGATTTTCCAGCAGGACAACGACCCGAAACATCGTTCAAAGCATTCACAGGCCTGGTTTCGGACCATAAATATGACATTATTAGATTGGCCAAGCTATAGCCCTGACTTAAATCCAATAGAAAATGTTTGGGGACTTGTGAAGGAAGTGCCAATAAGAAAAATCTGACAAATATTGCTGAAATGAAAGAAGAGGTGGTCCGATATTGGGACAGCATGGACCACGACCTTCTAACTTCTTTGATCAGTAGTATGCCCCGCCGCATTGAAGTCTGCATTGCTGCCCATGGTGACTTGACAAAATACTAACTGTTCACCTGTCTTTGAGTCTGGAGTTATGTTCTGCTAATATTCACATTTAATACGTGAGTAATGAGTGAATTTTTAAAAAAAAATTACAATCTAAAATTCTCAATAATTTCTGGTTGTACTGTATGTAATGTGAATGTTCCATATGTGTAGTGTGATTGTGGTAAACGTGTCGTGTGTTTGGTGATTGTTGTGTGATTGTATTATACGTATAGTGTGAATGTAGTAAGCGTGTGGTAGGATTGCAGTATACGTGATGTGTGATTACCATATACGCGTAGTGTGATTGTTGTTTTCATGTTGTGTGATTGTAGTATCTATGTGGTGTTACTGTGTTATGTTGTTCGATGTTGACTAACACCTTGAGTGACAGTAAGTATATGAAGTTCAGGGTTTGCATTTCCATCCTCTACTTGTAGCAATATTTAACATTAACATGACTAGAACTTGTTTATCTATCATTGTTAATTAGTTGATGATTATTGATTGCCCACTTCCTTTGCTCAGCTAATATGTTTTTCGACAATGCCGCCAAATAACTATCATAATTAACACATACAGCTTAGTTTTAAAAACTACCATACCTATTAGTTTTTACCATAAATGTTTCTTCTAATTTTTAAGACTTTACTTCGGTTTTAATCGATAGATTTGAGACAGTAACCCTGAGAAAGGTCGGCGGTTAACTGTCTCCACAAGCGATGGTCAGACCAGGTGGTTGTGAAGTGATGAGATATACCTGCGGGTAACACATGTCATTCGGTGGGTCCAGTTCGCTGTGCAGAGGTTAATTGGTCGTAAATCGACGTCCACAAGGAACCAATTCCCTTTTGGGCAATTCTAGCACATTAACAGCTTAACTTTTCAGTCCCAGGGTGTGAGTCGGTTATTTGATGTAATGCGAATTAAGCGAGTCACAAATACGTGTTTGTTGTGCTTATGTTGGAATATTGAAAAGCAGTTCATCATTTTTCCAGACAGAAAGGATTTATCGATCATTAGCCTTCGTTGGCTGTTACTAACACCTATTTAGTACCTGTATAGAGAAAAAAGCTTGTAAATCTATTATGAATATGCTATTTGGTTACTGACATACGCTTGTTCTTAGCTATAGTCCGTCCAGAAACCTTCCATAGTAATAACATTTTTTACACACACAAAAAAAACCCCAAAAGTCTCAGACAGAGAACAAGACAATGTAATTTTGATAACCGAGAGGATTCAATAAAGCCGTTCTGACACTAACGTCACTCAGACTAGATTTAAATGTCAACCACTTTGAAGCAGAGGATCAGACAGCCATCCATTAAAAACAGAAAATAGCCCAGAATAGGCACTGCCTTCAGCAACGGTATTGATATTAAAAGAGTGCCATATCCGGACCTCATCATGAGAAATTATTTTCTTAAGGGATAAGCTTTCGAATGTCTAGTACTTGCTCATCTGAAAGTAATATTCACTATTCAGACAAAAATGGGAGTAGGTGGTGTAATTCCAGACTTTCTCTTTGTCATTGTCTATCCTGCATTGTAGTGTTTTTTGTACTGGAATTACATCAATAATGATCTAGCGAGAAAGAAAGAGCAATATGACACAACTGTGGTCTGTTACAACTTTCGTGAAACTCACGACCTGGTTTTAGTGCTGACAGGCCATTGTGCACCCTTGCAGAACAATTACGATCCCAGGTAAGATACAGCGAAAGCAAACTGACATATCATCAGTAAATATTACCATCAACATATGTGTGAATATGGACATTCCTCGTTCATGTGACTGAACGAATGTCAGCTAATTTTCGGGATATGGTTTACAACGAACGCATGTATGTACGGGTATAGAATCTAAATGAACACTAAAGTTATTTCTAAATAGTTTCTTAAAATCCCATAAACTTGATGTGGAAATTAAATGCGCTTGTCGTGTATAAGTACGGTGTGAATAGATGAGAGTATGGTACATTACCATCTATTTGGTGCAATATCATTGCAATTCAACTGGTCGAGTCTGAAGCAGACAACCCGGTCTCTAGTGTTTTATCAGCAATTATTTTTATCTTATGTTTTATCTTAATAATTTCGGTATACGACATAGATAATCAGGTAAAGCTAGCATTGTACATCTATGTGGCAATGGGTACGAACGTCAACGTCTCCGCAAATAGCCGCAAAGAGCTGCATCCCTTGAGAACATTTGAGTAATTATTAATTGTGAATATATTGCAAGCTTTGATTCAGCACCATACATGAGCTCGTTGACTTTATCAAAGTGATAACACCCTAGATCCACATCCACTTCATTCTATGTCAAGCCGACACATTGCGATAAAACTTTAAAAAACAGTCCCCAGTCAGGACAGTGTTGGCCAAACCACAGAACAGTATACTTTAAGAACTTTATTTTAGACTGACTATTAAATACACTGATTG